ATTTTTTCTTCATTTTTAAAGCAAGTTCAGAAAATGTAACCGTATGTATTTTAATTGCAAGTTAATGGTGTCAACCACCAGGTTTTGTTTTGGGCTTGATCTTACTATACCTTAGAGTTATGAGATTTCATTTCTGTTCTTAGCATTACCACAAACTTAGCTTAGTGTTTCAGAAACACCTTTTAGATGTGTCAATTTTCACAGTCCTGCTTTCAGATACTATTCAGAAACCTATTTAAGTGTGTAGAGTACTCACTGGTTGGGCTAAAGTCCAGGAAGAAATACAAGAATCCAGAATCACTAAAAGTAAAAATCAAGTGCTAGGACCCAGCAGCCTGAGGTACCCAAATGTCACAGCCCAGGAATGTAACTGGGTAGAGTGGTGCCAGTAGCCACTCAAGGAAATAAGAGATTTGTTGCTGCTGCTAGCAAAATTTGGCTCCTTCAGCAAAGTGACCATTTGCAACAGGACTCTCAGTCCTGAGGGACGCCTGAAGCCACAGCCACGAGTCGGGGAGCATCAGTTTGCTGTTGGGCACTGCTCCGTTGAGCACAGGAAAAAGGACTTGCTCATGTCTCTAGATCACCTCCTACCTCAGGAGAGAGAAAAAAACCCCACTGACAACCAACTGGCTTCTTGAGCTTTCAAACCAATCTAAGACAGTATTTTGTAAAGTCAATGCCTTACATCATAAGTACAGAAGATTTACTTATATTTTACTTATACTTTTTACTGGCTAAGCAGAAGTCTAAGGCAATTCACCTGTCTCAAACATTAATCAGAAATGAAAGCAGCAAGCTGGGGAGCAGAGATAGGCATCCTTTTACCTGTTCCTGTCTGCTCTCCAGCATTAGCTCACCTTTCTTGAAGTTACCCTGGGGCCTTAGAACTGATTCCCACTCTGTTATCCAGCCAGACAGGTATTAAGAAAACTTTCTGCTCAGTCTAAGTTGCAGAAGTACTAGAGAGTGTGACATGATCCCTCCTTCCTGACATGAGAGCTGCTATAGCCCATCTTCTCATAGATATTACTATGTCTGAACAGTAATCTTGCAGCAAAGCCACAATTCCTTCCCTGCTTAAGGTAAAATCCCTATTTTCAGTTACTTCTCCCAAAACACATATTTTTTTCTTACTATGGAGGTTGCTGTTTGTGCCACTAATAACCTCACGTGAAGGCCATATTCCTTTCAAGAAAGTTTTCAACAGATGTCATTGTCAACAGGCTAATAGTCTGCTATAGCATCAGGTGTGGAATTGAACATGGAAGTCTTTTTACCTTTTCATCCCAGTTTTTGTTTCAAAGAATAGTAGAACTATGGAGACAACTGTGTAAACCCAATACACAGCTGTTCATTGGCAGTCACCAGTCCAATAGCTGTAACAGTTGAAGGAGCTGTATACTGTTACTCTTCTGGGACAAGGAGGAACTGGAGAAAGAAGCCTTTATTTAAGCAAAGGGATGCTAATAGTCATAACTGTGTTTTGCTAATTCATGTTTTCACATTTAAGAGTAAGCTGTATTTTTACTTTGACAAATCCATATGTATCTAAAGTACCAGGCACAGTCCTCAGTTAAAAGCTGTCCTAAGTGACAGATCTCAACTACAAGAATAAGCATCCTCTTTCTCACATAATCTAGTGGAAGCAGCGTCATTCCTCCCACACACCCGAAATAGCCAAAGGGAGGTTACTATTGTGCTCGTTTTTGTAAAAAGCTGTTTGTCTCAAGTACATCTCCACCGTTGGGCTGACTCACAGAGCAAGATTTAACCCACCATCGCCACCTTCCCATCTGCAGATCTCCTCTGCACAGCTGCTGTTTTGCTATTCCGCTTCTGTACCTCCTGCATCAGGACCCATCCTCCAAGGTCACAGCACGCCAAAAGCACGTTGCAGACAGTGTATCATTGTTGTTTGCACACTTCAGCTGCTTCAGTTCATATCAGGATTGGAAGACAGGGTTTTGCTCTGTGACAAATTTACTTTGCCGGCATTTCCTCACTGTGCTGGATCCTCACCAGCTTCCCTTCCTTGGGTTACCTCTTGCCTGCTGTGGTTTCTTCAGAATGCCCTCTTATTTTGAAGGAAGGGTTGCCCGGCTCATGCTGGCAAGACACTTCTGCAAGTGACATGAATCCTGGCTTTGCCTAAGCTTCCAGGCTCAGAAGCCCCACTGATTTCTTCATGACCATTAAGCACTTCAGTTTTTAACAGCAGGGCTGTGTGACTTGAGGCCTTCACTCCGGAAAGCAGGCAGGATTTGTATTAGATGACATCAATGCCACAAGCTTATCTCTTGTCACTGGAAGTCTCTCCCCAGGGAAAGAAGACCATCAGTGGGATACTTCCCAAATGAGAGCCATGAGCCTGCTCCGAGATAGCTGCTTGCTTTGAAGTAAACAAGCAAGTCAACCCACAAGCTGTCTTTCTTCTTGCATTTTTGAGTCATCGTGTTTGTAAGACATCTAAAAATAGCTCAGATTCACTTTAAATAGGTGCAAGTAATTGACTGCCTAGGGAGGGTGCGCTTGTCTGCTCCAAACTGACTTGCATGGAACAGGTGCTTCACTTCTCTCCCAAAACACTCTTCCAGCAGCACAAGTGTTGCAGACAGCTGTTAACACCAAAGGAAGGCCAATCTCCTCTCTCAAGCTATAGTTTTGAGTATAAACCCCCTATTTTCCCTCCAAAGAAATTAATGCTAATTGTAGTAACATCTCAAAAGGCAAGAAAAGTGAGTGCAGGAACTGAGTTCAGCCAGATTGTGTCCTTTCTATCCGGGGCGCTGCAACAATCATCACCTGATGCTTTCAAGTACACATCAGGTAATTACTGGATTTCAGTTTTCAAGTTCTTACACAATGCTCACATGTGGTGCAGTGTTTTGCAAGCCAGTAGTCCTAAGTAAAAAACCCCAAGATAATGACACAAACTTGAGGGCCTCTCAGAGTTCCCTTTTAAAGAGGACCTGAGCACATGATACTCTGAGAAAATCAATCAAGAAAGACAGCAGTGACTTCAATAATTAGAATCTTATTTTATTTATTTTGGGATTAGCCCCAAGTCAGCAAACACGCAAAAACTCAAAAAAGAATAGACCAAACCTAAGATTAGCTATTCTACGGATGAAAAAAAAGGTAAAAAAAGATTTTTTTCTCACAGACAGCAGTTTTAAAGGCACTAGAGTGTAACTAATTATACTTGTACAAACATACTCTGCCCTGTCAACAATGCAGGCTGGGGACAGGCTGGCCAGGGAGAAGCTCCGCAGAGAAGGCCCTCAGAGTCCTGGTGGGCAGTGAGCTGAGCCTTGGCAGCAGGAAGACCAAAAGCATCCTGGGCTGTATGAACAGGAGCAGAGCCAGGAGGTTGGTGGAAGTGATTGTTCCCCTTTCCTCTGTATCCAGAGTACCACATCCAGTTTTGAAGCGAGTTCAGCAGAGGGTCCCCAGGATGCTCAGGGGGCTGAATTGCCTGTGAGGAGAGGCTATGAGATTGGGGTGATTCGTCCTGGTTAAGAGAGATGGCTTTGAGAGTGCCTATAGCAGCCCATGCCACCCATGGGGAAGAGAACGAGGAGTTGGAGCCAGGCTTTTCACAGCAGTGAATGGTGGGAGGATGAGAGACTATGGGTAAAAGCTGAAAGAAGAGAGGTTCATGCAAGAGATAAGGAGATCCTTTTCCCCAGGTGGACAGCTGGGCAGGGGTGCGGGTCGCCCAGGGGGGCTGTGCTGGCTCCATCCTTGGAAGTTTCCAAGCCCCAACAGGACACAGTGCTCAGAAGCCTGGTCTGAGCTCAGAGGTGGCCCTGCCTGAGTGGGAGGCTGGACCGGAGACCTCTTGACCTCCCTTCACTTCCAAATTTGCCTTACAATCTTATACAAATCATTTTTCTACAACATTGTTACTTTCAAAGTCAACAAGCATTAAGATATGTGGACCAACATATTTCATGCCTAACAACCAGCAGAATATTTCCAGTGATTCTACCTAAAGAGAACTGCAGGGGCTAGAGTCTTCTTAACTTATTAGCTGTTTTTTTTTGCCATTGAGATTAGCACGTTACAGCTGAAAGGAAAGTCTAAGAAGTTGTTTTACTGCTTTCTGATACGGTTTTTTGTATCAGATCTGAGCTATGACAGGGCTTAGGGGATCACCCAAGATGGACCTCATTATGTCAGGCCTGCACACACCTTGCCTCAAACAGGTTACTATCTGAACAGTGTGAAGAGAAAGCAGATGAAGTGTCCAGGGATCTTTGGTGGGTCGATACCAGAGTCTAGCTTTATGCCATAACTAGTCATAATGCTGGTCATGAGAACATAGGTCTTCAGAAGACACAGGAGCAAAAAGGAAAGAAATCATCTGTTTTTTTACTTTGCTTTTCACAAAGCCATATACTCCCTCTCCATCACATAAAAGCAGAATACAGACCTATTGGTCAATTGATTCAGGTGGTACAATGATAAGGATAAGGAGATCCCAATCAAGGAAGCAATTTTATTGCCTTACCCTTCTACAGCCACCAACACTCTCTCTGTCTGCCCCAAATCCACTTCTCTCTGTAATTCTGTGCCTCTCTGGAGAAAATCTTTGACTGCAGCATTGAAGAAAGAAAACTATATTATTTCAAGGAGCCTTTCAGATCTTACGGTCTAGGAATTTAGCTGTGTTCGTTTGATATGGCAGACTGAAATGAAAGAAAAGAGTGTGGGAGAGCATAACCCTCTGTGAGTTGAGTCTACCTTTTTCTTCTGAAAGATAATATGATTTAATTATTTACCTTTAAACTGGAGTGTTCTTGAATGACAAAAAAAATAAAAGCAAGACAGTGATCTTTGTGCTAGTAAGGGCATATGAATAATAGCACTATGACCTACTGGCAAAGGAGGGGTGGGGGAGGAAGGAAAACATTGGGTACTGGGACTCCCTCTTCATTGGTCATCCTAGGGCATCATGTGGCCAAGGCTCCCTTTTAAAGATAACTCCTGATCTCCTGGAACTCATACTATCCTCCTGTCCTGCACTTCTGCTCGATCCTGTGGAAGACCTCTCTAGCCTGACAAAATGTGTGACCAGTTTGTGGGCACCTGGAAGCTCCTTTCTAGTGAAAACTTTGAGGACTATATGAAAGAACTGGGTGAGAATTGTTATTTGGAGTTGTTTTACCTCGGACAGGGAAGGAACGATGATATTGAACTTTATTCCTTACTTGCTTTTTCTGGCTAAGCTGTTTGCCAAAGGGGGTTTTAGTCCAACTATTTTGATCAGATGGTCTTAAAATGGAGAACTTGGCTATTTGAATTAGTGGTGTCAAATTCCTATAATGTAGAAAAACCTTGCTTGGGAGGAACAGTTTCAGGTAAGCCGAGTCCATGCATGCCTACTTAGTAGTGTTAGAAATGGAAGTAAAACATGTTACTGCAATATTTTGTGTGGATTAGCTTTTATCCTTGGACCTACAAAGTGGTGTAATGCTAGAATGCAGCCAGCTTCTCTATGTCTAAAAGCAACACACCTAAACTTCTTCATAATGCTGCTGGACTAGGAGACCAATTAATTGTCATGGCTATTACAGTGAATGAAACTCTGTAGCTGCCTCCAGTGAATATTAACAAAGAAAATTGCATGGATTCGTGCAGATACTCGCAAAAGATTTGAGGGTTAACACTCTTCTTTAAAGATGTAGGTTCATGCTTAGAATTAAAAAGTTTCCATATTCTTTTAGTGTGGAGGAATTATGGGGTGACTTGCGCTGATTGGATCAGTACATGTTAAAAAGCTGGGGGTTTATTCGGAGATTAGGGGTAAAATACTCACTGAGAATTGTGCAGCGTTCGGACAGCTTTCAGCGGGACTCTTGCACTCTTAATCTTTACCCCAGATTTTACTCAGGACGTAACCATTGCCAGCTATTTCTTAATCATTTCCTTTTATTCAGCCTAGCCACTGGTAAATATAAAAAGTGCTTTCAGGTTGTTTTTTTCTTTTTTTCCTTTGTTTGTTTGTTTTTGTGGCTTAGAAACTGTCACATATTTCTGCTTATTTACTTTCAGATACAGGTAGCATACAACTTAGTGTACAAACCACAACAATTATTTTGAACGAGTGTATGTGCAAATATCTGGCATTGAAATCTTGTCTCAGTCTTCGAAATATTGCTTTTGCTGTTCTGACAATGAGAGAGTAGAGAATTTCCTTATGTCATCCCACCCAGCTTGCTCTATAATCACACCGAGCTAGTGAGATGTTACAAAGAAACCTCTGCAACACAGAATTAATAAAAAATTCAGAAAGTAATAGGGAAATCAGCATTGGAGTTTTGTGTTGTTTTTTTTTTTCCCTAACAAATAAGAGAAAAACATTGAGTAAAGGTAAAAATTTCATAGTGCCCTGTCTTATTTACAGGTGTGGGGTTTGCTACCAGGAAAATGGCTGGTGTGGCCAAGCCCAGTGTAACTATCAGCATTAGTGGTGATGTGATAACCATCAAAACAGAAAGCACCTTCAAAAATACAGAGATGTCTTTCAAGCTGGGTGAAGAGTTTGATGAGACCACAGCAGATGACAGAAAAACAAAGGTGAGTCCTAAAATGGCACTTTCCAAATACATCTCTCAAAAGGGGTGTGGGAGCAGGAGGACAGAGTCGTGATTTTGACATCCAGTGTAGAAATGCTACCTTCAAAGGTAAGAGTGCTAAGAATGCTTTGTGCTTCACTGCTGTTTGGACATGGAGACAGTCTCCTCTTTGGCCCAGAGTACCTTGAAGAAACAGCCACGCTTTGCTTTTTTTTTTTCTTTGGCAGAACGTCATAACCCTAGACAACGGCACACTGAACCAGGTGCAGAAGTGGGATGGAAAAGAGACCATCATAAAGAGAAAAGTGGTGGATGGGAACCTGGTGGTGGTGAGTTCATTTTTGTTACTTAATCACTGAATTCATTGTGCAGAATTCGTGTTTGGCAGAGGTATTACACTGGGTTCAAACACAGCGAGTGAAAGCATCTGAGAGGGCTTTGTGCACTTGGTGAGAAATCTCTCTGAATGAGTCTGGAGTACATATTAAAACTGAAATGCTGTTGAACTTATTGAATGCTATGAAGATGCCTATTCTCCATTCATAGCGAGACACGGTTAGGAAAGAGTAGGGAGAAAAAAACAACATCCCCTTGAAAGCAATTTTTGTCTAGGAGAATCTTTAAGTCCTGGACAGTGTAGAGGAAGCATTAGTAAAGTCCATGTTTAGTGTGTCCACTCTGCGCTGATGCAAAATCTGCTCATCTCCAGTAGACACTCAAAAGCCATCTGTGGGAATCTGTGGGAACCATACTATGGTTCACCAACAACTATTTCAATAATATGATATTATAGCAAAAAAAAAAACCCAACTGTATCTGAGCTCTGTTGGTTGGTTTATCTGGTCAGAGAGTATTGTGCTTGGCCTGGTACCAATGAGGTCCACCTCCAGTTTGGGGCTTCCCAGCACCGCTGTCCGGTCTTAGTAAAGACCCTTTGAAGAATCTGGGAGGGAACTAAAACTGTGTTCGTAAAAGGCAGCTGAGATTCCTACATGCTACAAAATGATACACATACATTAAATCCCTGAAGAGTTCTGCCCCCCCTCTAGAGAAAAATAACATATCCATAAATTTAATATTTAAATTTCTTTGGATAGAGACCAGAGGAGCACAAATAGAAATAGTTTTTAATAACAACTTCATTAAGACATATTGAACGAAACAGAGTTTGATCTAACAGAAAAATAGATGAGGACAGAGTCTAACATGCAGAGGCTGACACCAGCAGCTGCAAGTCCAAGAGCTGTGTAGGACTCTGCGTGTGTATGTGTGAGTATGTGTTGTGCACACGTGTGTGAAGAAGACAAGCCACAGCTGCAAAAGGTGAAAGGAAAAAGGACTAATGCCCAGCTCTGCAGTCTGATCATCCTCCAGAGAAGTCCTAGGAGCCTTCTTCAGAGATTTCTAAGAGGAGATCGGAAATCTCCTGAGGGTTGCTGGAGTAGTCCTTTGATGTTCTTTCAGTCCTGTGCTTGTATTTCAGACTTCTGCTTCTGAAGCTCTCAAACCTGAGTTTCACTGTTTTGACAATTGGTTTTAGAGCAGAAATGCAAATTTTTTCTTACACATGCTCATAATGGATAAATAGTTCTCTACCTTCTGACTAAAAAACATTTAGTGAGAGTTGAAAGCTGTTTAAATTTGCCTTTCTTTCCAGGAATGCACCATGAATAATGTTAACTGCAAAAGAGTTTATGAAAAAGCATGAAGAAGCCACCTTCACACAGGACTAACGCCTAAAGCCAGAGAAAACCAACTTAACCAAAGGAGAAAAACTCCACAAATCTGTTTTAAAGAGAACTGTACTTTTTATAGATATATCCCAAAACAGTTATTAATTTGTTATGGCTATTCAATAAAGTGTTCAGCTTTCTACAACCTGGGCTTGTGCTGGAGTCTTTCAGGAAGGGGTTTTGAGGGGATACAACGTGGGAAGGGATGCTGTGTGGGAAAGCGTGGCATGAGAGCTAGTACCACACTCAGTAAATGTGACCCATCACACTATGGAAAGAGGATTGGAGAAGATCCAGTGAGTGGCACTTGTGTGACAGTGACAGATGTCACTGGACACAAAAACATCCTTCAGTGAGCATTGTGTGTGGGCTACCCACAGGTGTCTGTGCACAGCAAGGGTAATTATGGGGCTGCTTTTCTTGGCTTCGAGCAAAGGCCATCATTCCTGGGGCAGGAGGGAGTACGGATGCTGTGGATGCGCAGTGTTGACCTCCAATGTGAGCAGGCAAACAGGCACCTCCTCATAGCATAAATGACAACAATTTTGAACCCAGAGAATATCTGAAGTGGCTTGATCTCGTCCTTTTCCACCTGCAGTGTGAAATTATAGCTGCTGTAGCTCTGCGCTGTGATTATTTTGTTAATGTCCTTTTCCTTAACATCTCTTTTTGTCCTAGATTAGACAAAAAGCCTTAAATTCATAATCATAGCTTAAAAAGTACTCTCAGGCTTACTAAAAGTCTGTAGAAGTTTGGTAGTGGTACAACCTCCTTTATTTCCCATATACATTTTCTACTAGCTCTTTAGGTTAGATCAGTCTTGGGAGCACAACCCTCTCTAGGTGCAAAGCTCTTTGGACACAATGTTTTTCAACTCTTCTTATTTATGAACTACCTTCTTCTACTGCCCTTAAGCCTGGCCTTCTATTTCAAAACTTTGCATCTACAGAAGCCCTGTTTCCTACATGTGAGAGGACTCAAACTGGGGATGAAAAAAAAAAAAAGAGAAGTCTAGGGAAAACCTGGACAAGAAGAGTCTGAAAATGTGCGTAGTAATTACAAAATGGGGAAATGAATGTATCTCAAGTCTTGCAATTACGATCTGTGAACAAAATTCCGCATATTCCAGACATTCCTGAGGTCAGCTGTTGGAGGCAAGGGTACTGAGTCCCTCTTTCAGCAGCAGAGACCTCATACACTTGAACTTTTCTCTTCATGACTCAGACTGTTCCCAAGTTTCTGCACTATTAATACAGCTGGAGAGGAGAAAAGAAAAAAAAGGACTTCTACCCTCTGGATAAGCTAAGGAGTCATTTAAGGGCAGTTCCAAAAGACTATCAGTAAATTCTGCAGAAAATATTAAAAAAGCCATGAACAAACAGCTCCCCTGTTTTCACCTTGGCTTCGTTGATTGCGAAATCTCATGAGCTTAAAGAACAGCAGTTGCATAGTGGAAGGAAGTGCGCTTCAGAGTACCCTGTATATAGAATACTAAATCTACTTAGCACTTAACAAGAACCAAAATTGTTTACAAAAGCCAGGATAAAACTACAGTTTAGTGGCAGAAAACCTACATGGGAGAGACGATCATAAGAAGCAGCAACATTGACTTAAATAAGCTGCATATGGACACTAAAGGTCAGACCATAGTTAAATGTGTCCCATTGTCCACGGATATGGAAATAGTGTATTTCAAAGGTTAAATTTCCAGTATTCAAATATTCATATAACAGCCTCTATTTTCCAGATATCTCATATTCTTAATAAAGCCTGCAGTTACAATTGTAACATTCATAACCTGATTTTTCAGAGGCAGGAAATCTCTTCTGAAAGTACCACCATTTATTTTATTTTAGTACCTGGTGAATGAATTCAGACTTTGTGAATGAATCAAGCCACTTAAAACTTCAACTTTTGGAAATTTCAATAAAATGACATTCTGTCTATAAACTTTCACAGGGCCAGCACCATAATGAAGTGTCAGTGAAGCTTTTCTTAGAATAAGAACATGTCTGAAATTTATTCTCTGAAGAAGGCCAAAATTTATTCTCTAAAAAAGGCGGCAGCCTTCTTGAATAAATGGAAATAATTCCTCTCTGGCAAGCAGAGGTGTGTGCTCTCAGACAGAGGTGGAGGTTTTCTAAGGGGTAAAGGCGACCACTGTGTTGTCCTTGCCTGCAAAGCAGCACAGAACCCCCTCTCTTTTCTGTAGTGCTGAACTATTCTCCAAAAATCAGAAGACATCCCATAGCATTTCTCTGAAACCAAATTCCTACAAATCCTGTGGCACCCTTGAATGCTGAGGGGAGATCTTCTCTCATTAGCATGTTCACTCACTACTCCCTCACAGGTTTCCTGGATGACAAGAGGGAAGGGGGACTCACACCCACAGATATTTAGCAGCTCAGGAGAAAGATGAAGCAAGGCTTATTCTGAGCTTTGACCTTTCTGTTATTTTTTCTGTGTTTCTTTTAACTCTTTGTTTCCACTGGAAGGAACTCTGAGTACTTTTGCCTCCTGGCTAGTCCAGCCCAGCGCGTGTCCAGCTCTGCAGTCCGCCCTGAGCTGCCACCTGTTCCCTCTTCCCCAGCAGTCTTGATCTGGTCTCATGGGATGCCCCAGCTAAGGAGACAAAAGGCTGTTTGCACCCTCCAATGTAGCTATTGGGAAGAAGCAGACTGCTGGCCTCGTGTTCAGAGTCGATCCCTTGGCTCCATAGAGTTAGTGTTAAAACATCCTTGGTGTCCTCACAGCGGCCTCTGTTCTCTGCTTTCGTTTCTGTTTTCTTCATTACTCTCCTAGGAATTTAATTTAGACTTTTTTTGGCACTGAATTTGCCCAGATCATATTTCCTTTAAAGAAATTGACATACTTTCCATATTTCTATAAATAGTCTTTTTACATTTTTAGCTCGCTATTTTAATCATATTTACCTTTATCTCTAGTGCTGCTTCACAATGTCAAGTGTATTGGTCTCAAATACTGTTTTACTCAAACCATAAGCAAAAAAAACCCAAGTCCTCTCTTGTCACATATACTCACAATCCTTGACACTTTTTTTCCCTTTAAACTTGAAGAAAAGATTAGTTTTAACGGATATTATTTCTACTGAGATATAATTCCCTGCTCTTCTTCTTTCTAGACCTTTAAATGAAAGTGTTGATTTTTCTTAGTGACAAAGAGATAGATGGTAGCAATGTCAACATTGTTTGAGACTGCTTAAGACTAGGGTTTTGTCTGTATAAATAATTCTCTGTCACTTTTGTTCTTAAGGTTACTGGTACTGCAGTATAGCTGTTCTATTCTGACTAATTTGCTCTTCTTGAATTTATTTGGGCCTGATTTTACAACATCCCAATCATCTTTTATTTCCCAAAGGCATCAGCCTTGTCTTGTCAAAGTGCCTTTATGTGGATAAGACAATTAAATGAAAGAACAAAGAATGCCTGAGGAGCAACGGTAGAACATTTTCTTATTATTCCTTGAGAAATAATGGATAGTTTCATTTAGGAGGAGCTTTCTTATTTCCAGAGATTAGATAAAACAGCCAACTATTCTCTACACAAGATGTGATATAATGCATCTCTGCTTTAGAAGAGCTTTGTGTGGACAACACCTTCAAAGACTGACATTTATTTACATATTACAGATACAGCATCTGCTTGCTGCTGTGAGGGAGAAAGTTCTTCTTTACTTTGTTTTTGGTTTCAATCACTCTAGACTTTCCCTCCCTATTCTGCATTGTAATTAGACCTGAGCAGTAACGTAAAGTTCTGCTCAATTTACCCTCGTTGATGTTATGACTGACGGGATAAAACCATTTTGCATATACAACCAGTATTTGTGACTTAAGACCTTATTATTTTCACACAACCACAGTATAATCCAAAGACTACAATATTTTCACTGCTCAGGCTGTATTGTTTTCCTGTTTAAGTGTGTTCCTATTCGTGCATATGACAGCTTTCAAGACAAGACCCAAACCTTACCCTCCTTGGCCCAGCATCAGCCCCATCTCACTCCTTCTACCCTAAACACAAAAAATTTGGTCCCACAACCTATAATCCCAGTTTTCCTCCATCCTTACAAGGTAGATCTGAAAAATCCCTATAAGTACTCATAATCCAGAAAGAGTAATCATGCAAAAAAGACAAACAGGCAACTATTGTTCACACAAGTAAGAGAGAAGCCATCTAATCCTTTCATGTAGCAAGTAGTGGTTTTCTCCAGGAAGATGATTTAGGAAGCAGAAGGACAGAATTACAGTTGATGTGGTCTTACATTAAATAGTTTCAGATAGTCTGAGGTGTCTTGAATAACAATGCTTTGAACTCCTGCCTGTCAAATATACATATGGTTTATGGATTTGTTCTCTGTGTCTGGTCTTACTAACCACAAGACAATAGTTCTAAATGTACCTTTTTTTAAAGTTTTTGCATGTTCAAACTCAAACTTTTCAAACTTTCATACTCAGCTTTGCAGAAGAGGCTCTGGGGGTCCTGGTAGACACCAAGGTGAATATGAGCCAGCAATGTGCCCTTGAGGCAAAGAAGGTGAGTGATGTCCTGGGCTGCATTAGGTGTATTGCAGATTGAGGGAGATAATCCTCCCCCTCTACTCAGCACCAGAAAGGCCACTCCTGGAATGCTAGGCCCAGTTCTAGACTTCCCAGTACAAGGGAGGTTGTGGAGTCTTTTCATGGGAGCAGGAAACTTGAAGAAATCTGACAATAGTAGGACACATTTGAGTGCAATGCCTTATATAACTGTACTGGCTTAAGTCTGCCCTTAACTCTATGACAGACCAACTGTCCAGGTGCAGAAAGGCAAAAAAAGAGCAGCATATGCCCTCCTTCCAACCCAGTAAAACTGCTCACCTCTCACCAAGTGACTTTGAACTGAGAATAAGCCCTTTAACGACTCAGCCTCTCTTCATGCCATCCACCTGCCAAGCACAAGAGTTGATCTCCACTGGTGCACTGGTCTTCTGAACATGGCCTGCTGTGGAACAAGGGAGGCAGCAAAACTGCTGCTTCTGTTGGTGATGATGTCTGGGCATCCACAAGGAAAAACCCACAGCTAAAAAAGCAAAAAAACCCCAGTCGATTATGTACAGCAACTTCTTGACAGCTCCTCCCCAAAGTCC